GTCTCACTGAGGCTCCTCAGGCCCATATCAAACCTTGTGCTGGTTGCCTGGGACAGAGGCTGTGGGTTCTGCAACAAGATGACAGTGGCCGCCGCGCTGTGACCAGTTTCAGATTTTTGAGAAAAAGAATTAATTCACCGATTCAACAAATATGTACAGTAGTGCCCACCGTGTGTCAGACACTGTTCCAATTTGTCCTTCAAGCTTTAAAGTATTTCAAAAGAGTAAGAGACTCCACTGTTAAGTGACCGCTGTGTGAGGAATTGTGAAGGAAATGTCAGGGAAGAAAAGAAGATAACGAGTTTACATTGTGAGGGGTATGGAAGGGAGAGTAAAACAATGAAACAACATTGGTTATGGATTATAAAGGTACTTTAAAAAAAAACAACCCACCCCCGTAAGTGTTAGCTCATATTATCCTCTCTCGTCTACTTAACACTCATTTCTTTTTTTTTCTTTCTTTTTTTTAATTCTCTCAGAGGTAGACTTTGCTGAGGTTTTTAAAGATACAGGATAATGACCCCTGTTGGTAGAGATTAATATTCCAAAACAATATATTGATGCAAAAGAACATAAGAGAGCCCTAGCCAGTGGTTAAAGGGTGGGCCCAAGCACCAGAGGGTCATGGGTTCAATTTCCGGTAAAGGGCAGGTACCTGGGTTGCAGGTTCACTCCCTGCCCCTGGTCAGGGTGTGTGTGGAAGGCTGCCAGTCCATATCGACCTCTCTCTCTTTCTCCCCCTCTCTGTCCACCACCTCCCCCCCCTGAAAATGTAAAAAATATCCTCAGGTGAGGATTAACAACAACAAAGAACATAGAGAGGAATGACAAGGAAATAATATTAAGCATTGAAGCAAAATGGAAATTGAAAACTACCATCCTTATGTTGTATATGACAGAGAGGGAGGAGGGCAAGTGGAATAACTGGAGTAATTCATTCTCATCTCAAATGGTTCTCTGAGGAGTTTGCTTTTTTTGTTTTTTCTTCTTGTAGCATACATTTAAAAGCCATCAAAGGAATCCTGGAATCGAATAGTGTTAGCTAAAGGGTGTCTGAAACCCTGGTTCTGTATGTATGTGTTTCTGGTGGTTTCTCCCAAAGCCTGGCAAATTCTTGCCATGACCACAAGGGGGATGTGGTAGCTCTAGATATTAAAAGCAGGAGTTGAGAATGGGGCTGTATTGCATTTGCCAGTTTGGAGGGCAGGCTTCTGGCTGCTTTGCAAATTAATCTGGCCTAAAGCCTGAAGGCTTGAAGAAATGAACCTGAGTCTGAAGAGAAGTAGGGTGCAAATGAATAAGAATGAATGGTTAGCCCTGGCTGGTGTGGCTCAGTTGGCTGGAGTGTTGTCCCATGTACTGGAAGGTCACGGATTTGATTCCAGTCAGGATATATACACCTAGGTTTTGGGTTGGATTCCCGATCAGGGCATGTAGGGGAGGCACAGATCAATGTTTCTCCTCTCCCCCACTTCCTTCCTCTCTTCTAAAAAAAAAAAGGGAAAAAAAGGATGGTTAGGTCCACAGCCAGGTGGTATAATTCTATTACCAGAGAGCACAATATTGTATTTTACTTCTCTGTTGTCATCTCATTGTCACACAAGAAAGTGAAAGGAGTTGGTACATGATTTGCATGTGGGTAAATGTTTACCAGACAGAACAGGTGGCATTCTAATACCTGTGCAAACTATTTTAACATATTTGAAGACAGGAAACTAGTTTCAGTGTTTAAGTAACTCCCAGCCATTAATAGGAATTGTAATTAGATAGTAATCACTAATAGTTGTTAAGTGTTTAGGTGCCACATACTGTCTTAAGTACATTAGCTAATGGAATGCTCCCAACAATAATCTCAAGAAAATACTATTGGTACTCCTATTTTGCAGATGTAGAAACTGAGGCTTAGAGCACTTACATAGGTCACATAATAGTATGTTATTAGGTCACATAATAGAATGATAAAGCTAGAATTTGAAACCAGACTGTATGACTCCAGAACCTGTAGTCCTAACCACTAGGCTCTGCTGCCCCATAACCAAACTGGGTTTGATTTTTTGTTTTAGCCTTACCCAAGGAGTGAGGATATTTTTTCCATTGAATTTTTATTTTTTTATTTTATTTTATTAGGGAGAGTGAAAGGGAAGGGGGAGGGGGAGGGAACCATCGATGTGACAGAGACACAGCGATTGGTTGTCTCCCACACTGGCCCTGACCTGGGGTGGGTATAGGACCTGCAACCCAGGTACATGCCCTTGATCAGGAATCAAACCCACAACTCTCTGGTGTGCAGGCCTTCTATCTATCCACTGAGCACACTGGCCAGGGCTGGGTCTGATCTTTACCTCCGCATATACAGAAGATGAATTTTATAATACTGGCCTAATCCATTATTAACAGTTATTTTAGATGATGGAATAAAAATGTTAGAAATACTTTTTAAAAATTTTAAGTAGTTTAGGTTTTAGGACAACTACAAAGTTCAATTTGTAATATAATTCATAGGATCAAGTTTATATATTTAAAGCAAAGTCTCTAAACTGGTGACTCAGGTGATGTTTTTATTCAGTCTTGCCAAAGATGAATATCATGCTGTGGCACCTTCCATCTTCTTGAAATAAAAATGTGGCATATTGCAGGGATGTGTCACTTTTGTTTCATTGGAATTTTTCATGTATCTATAGCAGATTTCAGGAAACATTTCCCACTTTTCTGTTTTGGCATTAGCTGTACTATATTGGAGTGCATTACATGGTGTCACTACATTCAAGCCTGATTCAACAGAGCTTGCCCCAGTGACACATAGGAAGTCTTATGTCAGGTGATGTCTCTGTCCCCAAGGGTGGTGACAGCAGGTTTCACTTTATAGTGAATGCCTGGTAACCCCTCAGCCTGCCCTTCTGATAAGAGAAAAAAGAAATTACAGGTGACCCTGAAATAAAAGTGAGACAGCAATAAATCAAAAGAAAATGTCATTTTGATTAGATAGAACATTTATATCCCAATGATGACATTTTATCCAGTCTCGGTGCACAGGGTAAAAATCAGTTAATTTATCTCACTGTGGATTTTCATTGAGGTTTGGAAAACAGTTGGCTATTGGATAGGTCAAGGACCTGTGTATGAAGTCCCTATTTGGGGAGGACGTAGGGCTGACAAAAGCAGAGATTTGCTCTTTATGATGATCCATTTAATAATTAATTCTTAAGGATATAGGAACCTTTTCTGAACTTTTTAGTGTAAAGAGCCAGAATTTTAACTTATTCTTGATTGGCATGGTATAGTAAAAGGAACCCTGAATTAGGAGTTGAGTCTGAGCTTGGGTTCTAGAAACACAGAAAGGACCTTAGAT